ATCAAACAGGTTTTGGGCAGCAGGACGTTAGCATTACTGCTACTGAGTGCTGATTGGTTGGCATTACTGCTACTGACTGCTGATTGGTTAGCATTACTGCTACTGAGTGCTGATTGGTTAACATTACTGCTACTGAGTGCTGATTGGTTGGCATTACTGCTACTGAGTGCTGAATGGTTAGCATTACTGCTACTGAATGCTACTACTGAGTGCTGATTGGACTGCACTACTGCTACTGAGTGCTGATTGGTTAACATTACTACTACTGAGTGCTGATTGGTTAGCATTACTGCTGAGCGCTGATTGGTTAGCACTACTGCTACTGACAGCTGATTGGTTAACATTACTACTACTGAGTGCTAATTGGTTAGCACTACTGCTGAGTGCTGATTGGTTAACATTACTACTACTGAGTGCTAATTGGTTAGCACTACTGCTGAGTGCTGATTGGTTAACATTACTACTACTGAGTGCTAATTGGTTAGCACTACTACTGAGTGCTGATTGTTTAGCACTACTTCCACTGAGTGCTACTTGGGCAGCATTACCACTACTGAGTGCTGATTGGGTGGCTTTACTGCTACTAAGTGCTGATTGGTTAGCATTACTGCTACTGAGTGCTGATTGGCTGGCATTACTGCTACCGAGTCTGATTGATTAGCATTACTGCTACTGAGTGCTGATTCATTAGCATTACTGCTACTGAGTGCTGATTCATTAGCATTACTTCTACTGTGTGCTGATTGGTTGAAAAACACCCAACTTTTAGTATTATTTTGACTAATGTAAATGTAGGGGTTTGGGTTTGGGACAGACTCCTCCCACTAGAAAGTACCCTATAAATGATGATTTTGTATACATTTAGCTTATTTCTACCTCTATTAATCCCTTGGGTTTAAACAGATCATTACATAATCATTGTAAAGTCAATGTCAATTTTAAAGGCACAGTAACACAGTCACTCTGGTTAATTCTGGAAAATGGCTTGTACGAATGAATTATGGCTTATGAGTTTTTGTTACATAAAATGACTCAAACATAGGCAGACCAGGATGTGGGCCCTTTAGCTTACTTTGCGGAGCTAAAACTTTTCTTTTTTCCCAGTGTATTTGTTGCTGATTCTGAATGAACGAGTCCTTCACTGCTGGCAGGGTAACTGGGTAAAAGTTTCTGTGTGCTGGCATGAAAAAGTGCCAGGTTACGAAAGACCTATTGACTATCTGAGCCAATCCTGTATTTGAATGAATTTGTTCGTACTGTACGAACTCACAGGAGCAGCAAGCTCTGGCAGGTTGCTGGCTAGAAGAGGAGTTTGAGGTTTGGGAATAGAAAATGCCGAGCTCATGGAAAGATCAACAGGAAGGTTTTTGGTAGAAGGACGTGCAAGGCCTGACATACTCAAACAGAGCCCAGAGGAATGAGTCACTAGCACGTAGCGTTCATGCTAAATGTTTTCAGTCTTAGTAACAAAAAACATGACCAGACAATGACTTAACTTAATGTTTCTTTTACATGAGAACATGAGCTGTTGTGAGTGATAACACTTTAATATTTAAAGCAATCAGACGTGTAATGCAGTAAAAGCATAGCTGCTTCAGTGCAACAAATCGCCTTCAGTAAGAAGTGTCAGATCAAATATACTCCTGGGAGCAGCTGCTCCAACTGATCTGAACTGCTAAGTCAGTCATACTTAATTTGCACCTGTTGCACGGAAGTCAGACAACCGAACTTCAGAGAAGGCCTAAAGATTTCTGCACTGCAAAAATTAATATCTTAACAAGTAAAAACTTGTTAAATGTAGTGAATAAATCTAATATCTCTCATTATGAGACTGTTGTGAGAATATTATAAGATTATTCCACCTGTTTCTGTACACTTTTACTTGTTTTAAGTGATTTTATCTGGTGAAAGTGTCTTATTCCATTGGCAGATTAGTTTACTTGTTTAGAGAAATAATGAAGATAATTTTGCTCATTTCAAGAAATAATGATTAAAACAAGTAACATGATCTGCCAATGAAATAAGACACTTTAATAAGATAAAACTGCTTAAAAACAAGTAAAAATGTCTAGAAATAAGTTAAATAATCTCACAATATTCTTATAACAGTCTCATAATGAGAAATAGTAGATTTATTGACTACATTTAAGATGTTTACACTCACTAAGACATCATTTTTACAGTGTACAATCAGGCTTATATTTAAACTCTGTAATTCTTGAAATGCAAAGCAGAAAATTAGCCAATCTGGAACTGTTTCTCTCCAAGTTATCTAGGTAGATATGTCTAACCGAGCTACATAACGGAGTTACATTTTGGTGCCAACCATTTTCCGTTCCACCTTAAATGCTGCAGCAGATGCACCAGAACTGCTGCACTGCTTAAGGTGGAATGGAAAATTAGAATAAGAAGCTAACTCCAGCCCCGTCAGAAAGTGTTCATGCAAATCCTGCTAGCTTAGCACTAACATACTACTAGAACCCCATAGGGACGCTAGTAGAAGTTAGCATTATTGTAGAGGTGGGTTTTTTCCTCATGTTTTGACCGAGTTTTGGTGTAGGGCCTAAATTGAAGGCCTCACTCTAGTAGTTACAGTTCGACACTGACCAAAGTCACAGTTAGTGACTTTGGTCACTAAAGTCTGCAGGTTTTTGGGTCAGTCGGAGTCGAGAGCTGGAGAGAGAGTCAAGTCGTGTGTGAGGGGCAGATTTTTGGCCTCCCGATCGCATTTCATGCCAGTTAAAAGCTTCGCTCCACACGTGAATCATATGTTTGATTTTTTTGTTCGACCCGACTCTCTGAGTATAATCTAGTGTAAACTGGTCAACAACTCAATCTGAACGGACTCTTCCAACAGCCAATAAAAAACTGAGAGCGCAAAAGACGGAAATACAGCAAGTAGACAAAGAAAAATGATGAAAAGTCTCACGTGTGGAGCGAAGCTTTTAAGTGAGCTGAGTTTAAGGCACAGTTGAGTTTATGTAGATTTAAAACTCTAAAAAATACCACAGTGATCACATTTTTAAATCCATGACCCTCATTTAAATATGTTAATCTGCCACTTCTTTACTGTGTCAGCGCAAACGGCAGAGAAAACAGCAGCAGCAGCAGCGAGCCGTACAATGTTTGTTTATTTGCGTCTCCTAGTAACGGGAGTTCGTGCGAGTTCAGTGAGCTCCATTCGATCAGGCAACAGCTCAAAAGTTGATTAGTGTATGATCCCCAATATTTCAGTCGCCCAACAAAATCAGCAAAAACCAGTCTGACAGTGTGAGACGCCCAGTCTTTTATTATCTGTTAAGACTTTAAAAGTCGGGCAGTGAACACAAGGCTATATGTGAAAGTTTGGTCCATGTTTTGTAGACTTTCTTAGGGTATATAAGTGAACACATCCTCTGCAGAGAACACACTTCTGCACATTTTAACACACAATCACTGTTTATTTGTTCAATTTAGAAACATAAAGTGTGGCCTGTGCAGATGTTATGGCACACATTCTATTTTTTCCAATATATTAAACTGAGCAAATAATAAATTGTGCACTGAAATTTGCAGAAAATGTCATATTTAAGGGTGTCTCTGTATGTGTAACTAAGGTCTTAGTGATGTACATTCATGTGAAAACATATGAAGAGTTTCCTTGCAAAATACTTAGCATACATTAGCTACAATATTGAAAATAGAGGTTTGAAAAGAATAAGAGCTGATGTTTAAGGCACTTTGTGAAAAAATAACACATTTTATTTGTCTAATACAGGCGTTTAGGCCTGTGAATGTCCTTCCCACAATTATTCTGCAAGCTCAGGTGCAGAAGCACTGCAGCAGAAGATGCAAATTAAAGGAAAAATGAAGAAAAACTGAAAAGACCAGTTGAACTAGGCAGGGAAGGATGTGCCCACTCACAGCGGACGTGCCATTGTGATGATCTAACTCAGTTACCACATCCCTGTGTTTCCTAAGCCTGGACTGGGGGTCCTGCCTGCTCCAAACACACCTGATCCAACTCATCAGCTCATTAACGAGCCGTGTCTGAGTTGAGGTGGGTGTGTTAGAGCAGGAAAACACTCAACTGTGCAGGATCAGACCTGGATCCACTGCTGTAGCCTATAGAAACAGTCTAGAAGTTGACTTTACGCCTCCCAGCTCGGTGTACATTTTACACCTGGTTTTAGTTTGGCTTACATTTAGTGCATCGGCTTTAAAGCCCCAGAGCACAGTGTAAAATATTAAGAAAATATTTGTTTGGTATTAAAATTGAGTGATATATTAAAGAAGAATTCCACTCATTTTTCTAAATTTACATGTCCCAGTTAAGGACAGACATAGTTTGATGCAAAATGTTGTGTTCCAGTGAAATTTACTGAGTCAGAACTGTTTACAGTGGTGGTGATAGGAACCAGACGTCCACCTCTAAAAGCTCCCTCACAGAAAGTTCCTACATGAAATGGTTATGAATTCACTGCCTGATGACTGAGACACTGTTTTACGATAGTTTTGAGATTTTGGCCTAAAGCATATTTTTAAAGTACATTCATGGTGGAGGGATACATGCAGAGTGTTGTAAGGCAAAATAGTCCCCAAAGAAACTTATTATTTCAGATTTTCCACTATTTTCCATCATCAACATTCCATATAAACTCAGAAGACTTGTGTAGGTTCACTGGTGGTTTTGGATAGTAAATAAAATGTCTATACTAGTGTTGTAGTCATGGCGACCCCTGGTTCCTGTCACCACCACTGTAAAGAAATCTGAGTCTCTACAATCAACCATTTCACACCAAACCACTCTGAATCACTCTGTTTACATTTCAAGGACTGAATTATTCAAAAATTTTGAAAACTTGGTGGGATTCCCCTTTAATAGGTTATCTTTGGCTTGGTGGTTAGCTTTCTCTCTGTAAGTTTCTGGTGTGAACACAGTGAGGCTGTAGAGGAGCACAGTTTTGTTGCGCTGCGTGGGACAGTTTGTACAGGTATACTGTCCACCCACAAGAGGAAGAGTAGCCTAATTTAGGTTCTCTGAGTCTTTAAAGCTTATTCAGCGCCCCTGGAGTGCTGAGTTCCTCTATATGACTGCAGTGGAACATCTTAGTCCATCCAGCATCCATCAGCAGAGAAACTGAAGCTTGTACCGTTCTTTTCTTCCCTTTTTAGACTCTTTTGGGTCTAAGGTAAGTGGTTGCTATGCAGCTCTGACAACAACCACGCACTGCAAAAAATAATATCAAGTGAAAACGTCTTAAATGTAGTCAATAAATCTAATATTCCTCATTATGAGACTGTTGTAAGAATATTATAAGATTATTCCACCTGTTTATGTACATTTTTACTTGTTTTAAGTGATTTTATCTGGTGAAAGTGTCTTATTCCATTGGCAGATTAGTTTACATGTTTTGAGAAATAATGAAGATAATTTTGCTCATTTCAGGAAATAATGATTAAAACAAGTAACATGATCAGACAATGAAATAAGACACTTTTATAAGATAAAACTGCTTAAAAACGAATGACCAAAATAAGTTAAATAATCTCACAATATTCTTACGACAGTCTCATGATGAGAAATAGTAGATTTATTGATGACATTTAAGATGTTTACACTCACTAAGATATTATGTTTTACGTGTTATGTTTTATTACATCTGCCTAAAACATCTACAATACAGCAGCCTTTAAGGCAAACCATGGCAGAAGGCTGAGGGCGCAGAGCCAGTGTGTGGGAGGGTGTTGGGTAATAGAGTGAGTAGGTCCATTGTGTGGAAGAGGATTTTGCATGAGATAAAGATCAGAATCAGCTTTGGCAAATAGAGATGCATCATTTCAACACTTTTAAAACAAACGGGTCATTCTCCATTTGGAGTGGGAATTCAGGTTTCTTTCATCCCAAAACTAAATAATCTAAATAAGTCTATTAACATTATTATTATTGGTGGATCATTCTCAGCACTGCAGTAACATTGACGTGGTGGTGGTGTGTTAGTGTGTGTTGCGCTGGTCTGAGTGGATCAGACACAGCAGTGCTGCTGGAGTTTTTAAACACTGTGTCCACTCACTGTCCACTCTATTAGACACTCCTACCTTGTCGGTCCACCTTGCAGATGTAAAGTCAGAGACGATAGCTCATCTGCTGCTGCACAGTTTGTGTTGGTCATCCTCTAGACCTTCATCAGTGGTCACAGGACGCTGTTGGCTGGATATTTTTGGTTGGTGGACTATTCTCAGTCCAGCAGTGACACTGAGGTGTTTAAAAACTCCAGCAGCACTGCTGTGTCTGATCCACTCAGACCAGTGCAACACACACTAACACACCACCACCACGTCAGTGTTACTGCTGTGCTGAGAATGATCCACCACCCAAATAGTATCTGCTCTGTGAGGGTCCATGGGGGTCCTGACCACTGAAGAACAGGGTAAAAGGGGGCTAACAAAGTATCAGAGAAACAGATGGACTACAGTCTGTAACTGTAGAACTACAAAGTGCACCTATATAGTAAGTGGAGCTGATAAAATGGACAATGAGCGTAGAAACAAGGAGGTGGTCATAATGTTATGCCTGATCAGTGTATGTAAAAATGAGAGTTTAATTCCAAACATATTTTACAGTCACTGGTGTTGTATGAATATGGTGTAACTCCAGTGACGGTGACTCCAGTGACATTCCGGTTGAAACTGAGGATTTTGTATATGGGCTGACTTGTTGGCTGATCAGGTGACCTTGTGTATTTAAAATCAGTAATAAAGATGATATTTAGCATTATTTTGATAAAATTTTAATTACCTAGCCATTAAAGCACAAAACAACGGTGACACATAGAAGCTATGAGCTTCCTGATAAACAAAATTATTAATAAATTAATCAAATATAATGAGCGAGTGTGACTCGCCTCCTCATGCCTTGATATGCTTCCTCTCTGATGAGCCCCGACCCAAAGAAGCAGTTTAACAGAGCTGAAAATACTGTGTTAAAATGTAAAATAAGAGTCCTGATAACACCAGTGACCAAATGACCACATAAATAAAATACATCATTTTTAAATGTATATAATGTTAATGATATAAAAAGTAAACATGAATCTGTTTTATACAAATTCCTGAGTTAAACTTCTTAAAAATATTGTTTCATATTATGACTTGGTTTCCCCTCCAAATGGAGAACGACCCAGAAGCTCAGGCCTTTGTCACAGGGAGAGCATCAAAGCAGGGGTGGACAGTATGATGATTTTTCATCACAGTTACCTTCGTTGCTTTCGAAGGTCGGGATGAACAAACTAACATATGGTGCAGTGAAAAGTATTTGCCCCCTACTGATTGCCTCTATGTTTGCAGATTTGAGAAGCCGTTATTTATAAAAACATCCAGGAATTTTTAGGGATCCAAAAGTGGTTCTTCGCTTCACATAAGACTGGTTCTGTATGAGACTTTTATTTTGAAGTGGGAAAATGCTCTCTGATCCTATAAAGAGATGGAAAGATCCCTTAAAAGAGATGGAAAGATCCAAATTTAATCATTTTCATTACTGCTACTGAGTGCTGATTGGTTAACATCACTGCTACTGAGAGCTGATTGGTTAACATTACTGCTACTGAGTGCTGATTGGTTAGCATCACTGCTACTGAGTGCTGATTGGTTAACATTACTGCTACTGAGTGCTGATTGGTTGGCATTACTACTACTGAGTGCTGATTGGTTAACATTACTGCTACTGAGTGCTGATTGGTTAACATTAGTGTTACTGAGTGCTGATTGGTTGGCATTACTGCTACTGAGTGCTGATTGGTTAGCATCACTGCTACTGAGTGCTGATTGGTTAGCATTACTGCTACTGAGTGCTGACTGGTTAACATCACTGCTACTGAGTGCTGATTGGTTAACATCACTGCTACTGAGTGCTGATTGGTTAGCATCACTGCTACTGAATGCTGATTGGTTAACATCACTGCTACTGAGTGCTGATTGGTTAACATTACTGCTACTGAGTGCTGATTGGTTAGCATCACTGCTACTGAGTGCTAATTGGTTAACATCACTGCTACTGAGTGCTGATTGGTTAGCATCACTACTACTGAGTGCTGATTGGTTAACATCACTGCTACTGAGTGCTGATTGGTTAACATTAGTGCTACTGAGTGCTGGCTGATTGGTTAGCATCACTGCTACTGAGTGCTGATTGGTTAACATTACTGCTACTGAGTGCTGATTGGTTGGCATTACTGTTACTGAGTGCTGATTGGTTAGCATTACTGCTACTGAGAGCTGATTGGTTAACACTGCTACTGAGAGCTGATTGGTTAACATTACTGTTACTGAGTGCTGATTGGTTAGCATTACTGCTACTGAGTGCTGATTGGTTAACATTACTGCTACTAAGTGCTGATTGGTTGGCAAGCGGAGCAGCTCATTGGCTGTTGGCGCTCACTGATATCATGAATGTACATGAGGCACCGTTTTAAACTCGAGTACAAATCTCTTAAAAATATAACAGCAGTGTTAAAATGTTTTATGCTGCTCTGTGTTCAGGAAAAAAAATATTCCTTTATATTAAAAATGTTTAAGCAATTATAAACTATGATTTTGCTCAAATGCTCCATATCAACCCATTCATTTTGGACTAGCTCGGGAGCGCCCTCTAGTGTTTGAGAAACCCAGAAGACATTACAGAGTGGAAATTCTCTTCACAAGTTCATAAATGATCCTTTAGACACACCGCATCCCCGAGATTCGACGCATCTTGCACTGCGCAGCCGTGTCTGACAGAACCGTTGAAAATGAATGGGACACGTTTGCGGTGCGTTTGCGTGCTGGATCAGTGTGAATGCAGCATTAGACTGCGCCGAGGCCCTGATACGTATATCTGAACGCACGCTGCATGTTGGACATCTTATTATGGACATTGTCAAAGTGTTATGTTCTGTTTACAATCAGAAGCTGGTAGATAAGCAGCGTATCTGTACCGCTAACGTTCACACTTACAGTCATTCACACCTGCAGCCCTGAAACTGCATTTTACCAGATCGCACAAGTTCTCATTTGTCATGGAAGACTAGTTAAACAGGATGTGATGTCATCGGAATGGCCAACAGCTCCTCCATTTCTGAATCAGGTACAAAATGCACTGCCAGGACATTAATCACTCGCCAGAACTCAAAACTCTGCTGAACTAAAGTGGAGCACGAACTTTTGGCCTTTGCAGCCTTGAACAAGTCGCCGTCTGTCCTGCTAACGTAACCACTTCTGTAACGCGATCATCACTGCTGGTAATTTCCAGAATTGTACAAACCGACAGAGACAGACGGATTATTCACACTTAGAAACGCTCTGCAGTTCTACAGTTACAGACTGTAGTCCATCTGTTTCTCTGCATACTTTGTTAGCCCCCTTTTACCCTGTTCTTCAGTGGTCAGGACCCTCACAGCTGACTCCGCGCCAGATCCGCCTGCGTCTCCGCAAATCCGGCAGACCATGCTATCTGCATTTACGCATCTGCACCGGAGTCAGCGTAACGACTGTGTCACTCTGCGGAACAGGGGCGCGCTTGCTCCACATCCGGGAACGTTACGGATGGCCAATCGCTGTGTGAATGCGCTGCGGATCTGATCCAGAGCCTCGCCGCGAGACCGTTCAAAAATTCGCAACGGTTTCCAACGGTCTACCAGATTTTGGCCAGGATGGAGCCATTAAAACTGGTTGGTCACATCTCATGTCTTATTAGCTAATACTGCTATCAGAGTCACGATTACTAGTCATATTTTTGATAAGAAGGAAATTTTTAAGTGTTATTTTTCTCTTTCTTTGTATTGTTAGCTAACTAGCTAGCTTGAGGGCTGTACGTTAGCGGCTATGCTAGCTAGTTTATCAGTGACACTAATGTTATTAAAGACGAGAAATAAATCTTAAATAAGAATGTCTGGGCAACGTAGCTTTATAACGCCAGTTAAATTACCGAATGAATGTGAAATTGACATCTTATTAGCCAGTTTTTCATTCGAATGGTCTGTTCCACCTTAAAAGGCGCAGTAGTCAGTAGCCCTGCTGTACCGTTTAAGGTGGAATGGAAAATTCACATAACAAGCTGGCTAACAAGACTCTTCAGCCTCATTATTACGACAGAGGCAAGGTGCTTTTTTTCTGGCAATGTGAGAATACTAATATTGAACACGAGTTAATGTCCAGATAACTTTGTTTTTCGTTACTAGAGATACAAATACAATTAGCCTTTACTTTGCTAGTTACTGTACTAGCTAGCTAGCTAGGTTAGCTTATCAGTGACGTAGCTAACTATCAAGCTAACGTTAGCAGAAATGTACTTATTTAAGATATAAGTTAATTATTTAACTTGGTAGTCACACAGCCCTTGCTACGTTTGTCTGAATGAGTGTAAATTATAATGGACGTGTTATTTTTAGTTACTGAAAGAAAGAATTTTTCATTTTTATTCACTGCTAAAGCTTGTTAAGGCAGTAAATTCTGTGCCAGGTACACACACGTGAAGAAGTACTTACGATATGAAGAAATATGTAGGAAATTTAACATGTATGTATATATATATATATATATGCGTGTGTCTGTGTGTGTGTATTGTTTCTTCTTATATCTTGTTTATGTACAGAACCTTCATACAGCTTACATATATTGTGTAAAAACAAATATGCAAGAGTAAAAGAGTAATTCTAAAAGTGGCTTCAACTAGACATAAAACACCCTTTAGACGTTACAGTCCAGATAAAACTAAAATAAAATAAAGATTAAACAGATCATAATGGTATAAAACACCCTTTAGACCTTACAATTCAGATAAAACTAAGGTCATTAGACCAATTATTATTATTATTATTATTTGTGGAGAGGGGGGCGTGGCTGAGCGTCGAATGCGGGACGGAGAAGCTGGTCGGGCTGAACCAGCGGGCCTAAGTAGCTGATGTTGTTCACCTGTGCCTTGTTTCTGCCAGCCTACTTATTGTCATCTCTTCCCTCAGTAGCTGGCAGAGCCCGGAGAGAGAAGGAGACCAGCGAAGGTGTGAGAACTGAGCTGAGCTGAGCCTGAGGACTGAAGTCACTGAAAAGTGGCCAGCGAGCGTGTTGTAATACTTTTGTGGGCTATTAGCCGCGTGTGACTGAATATTGAAGGTAAGGCTCTTTATTCTCTCTTTCGCAAGTATAGCGAATGAAACTGCATTACCCATTTTCCTGCATGTTGAATACACAAAGTTTGTCTCCATTTCTTTTACTTTTTATTGTCCCAATTCCTAAGCTTAATAGCCAAATTGAGAGTCTGTCTATATCTACAACTCTCTGTCTGTCTGTCTGTCTATATCTATCTACAACTCTGTCTCTCTGTATCTGTCTATCTACAACTCCCAGTCTGTATCTGTCTATCGTTTTCTTTTTTCATTTCACAATAATTGCAAGCTCTGGTTTTTCTTTCAGGAAATGTATATCTAGTTACTTATGTTTTCACGTAGGAGCTGTACGGAAATGCAAAGTGAGCAGCAACACCACAGAAGAGATTTCCAAACATGCTATCCGATGGTTCAATCTTGCATCAGACTGCGGAGGCGGACGCTGGGAGAGATACAGGTTTGTGTTGCAACCTGGTTTGAACTTATAGTGAACGATATACAGGTTCATCAGTTTTATGTTAAGTTTTTTTGCCCAGGAGCACTGGTGCCCCTGATTTGAAATAGGAGAGCAGGGAGCGCAGAATCTGCGAGCACCAACTTAAAATGAACTTTTTATTCTTTTTTCTTTATTCCTCAGAGAGGATGGTAATACAGAAATCAGATTTTCCTACATAGTCCAAGCCTTTAAGGGTTACCTGAACAAAATTAAGAACTGCCATTTTCAGTTATTTAACAAGTATTATGTCCATTTCTTGCAGTTTTCTTAACTTTGTGTTTTTATCTAATCAACACAAAAGCATGTTTTTGTCCCAGTAGTCCTTATTAGTTTAGCCTGTGGTTCTTTTTTCCAGGTAGACATTTCTTACTGTAACTTCTTGATAGTTTCACATTGATTGAAGTAGTATTTTCTATCAACTAATCAAATCAGTCTGCCTTTCTTTGAACTTGGAAGTACATTGAGGGTGGCTCTCATTTTAAATAAAGCTAAACATATACAAAAACAGGGATTGAAGGAAGCAATAACACAAACAAAAAATCAGTAAAATACCAAGTGAAATTTAAGAATATAAGTCAAATCATAAAATAAGAACATTATTTATACTCCTGGCTCTGGTCTTTTGTAGAAATTTCTACCAATTCACTTGTACGTATACCATGTACATGCTTTTGAGAAGCTCTTTTGTGAAAGCTTAAACATGTGCTCAGTGCTACTCACTGTACTTCCTGATCACATACAATTATGAACTAATTGAGTTTCTCAGTCGTGATTTTCTTTTTGTTTCTTTCAGGTCATCTACAGCTCTTCAAACCACAGAGGGTTAATAATTCACTTTTGGAAAACACAAGAAGGTGCTAAATGTTAAGTGTTCAATAAATATTGTATTCATATTCAATACAGTTTTTGAATTGTTCTTGGTTTTACCTGTTTTGTAACTGTTCTTAACTGACTTTTTGTGCTGTGATTGAAGAGTTAATTTATGCAAGTAAAAGAAATATTCAGTGTTGATACAGATTACATGAAAAATGAATTTTACCTCTATCTAATTTTGTAATGCTTATTTGCATATTTAAAAATTGTTGTTGTTGTTGTTATTATTATTATTATTATTATTATTATTATTATTATTATTATTATTACACATTAATAGGATATCAGTATTATCAGGATATCAGAAACACTCCATTCTGGAGAATCTTATAAAGTCAGAACTTTTCACAGTGGTGGTAGATGGAACCAGACATCTGAACCTCTAAAAGCTCCCTCATTACACCAAATGATTACACTCCCTAAAATGCTGTTTCACCATAGTCTGGAATAGATTTCAGGTCTAAAACATTTTTTAGATACATTAGAAGGCTATAGCAATATGGTCCCAAAATAATCTTTTCAGGTTTCCCACTATTTTACCCCAACATTCCATATAAACTCAGAGGACACATGTAGGTTCACTGGTGGTTTTGGATAGTAAATAAAATGGTTATTTGTAGTATTTGAGTTGTAGTCATGGTAACCCCTGGTTCCTGTCACCACCATTGTAAAGAATACGTTTCAGCAAGTCAGTAAGTTTCTCTACAATTAATCATTTCATTTCATGTCAAACCACCAAAGTTTAATTTTATTTCCCAACTCTTCAATTAGACATTTATTAAGAAATACATTTTGTTTGTGAAATAATTTTGTATTTCAGGTTACCCGCTCTGGTCTTAGAGTACCCCTGCCCTGCATATTTTAGTGTTTTCCTTGATGTACATGATGCAGCTAATGTATTTAACAAGACCTGAGTAATGTGGGTGTGTGGGAGAAGAAAAACACTAAAATATACAGAACAGATAGTCCTAGACCATGGTATATTTAACACAGAGAAACAAAATAGTCTAAACATCTAGTTATTTCTACTTTTAAAATCAAATAAACTAATTATTATTTAGTTTGTAATTGAATTAAATAATGTCTAGTGTTAGCATAAATTACTCAATTATGTCATGTAAGGAAAAACCAAAACTGCCGGAGGAGGTGCAGATCTGGGCCGGAGGTGTACGCCTCCGGTCCGGAACTGATCCAAATGTAAAATGAGGATACGGATGTGGCCCGGATTTGGGCTGTATGAGTAAAGAAATCACTGAAAACTGGCCCAGTGCTGGGCCGGTGTTGGCCCAAATCCGCAAACTGGATCTGTACCAGTATTGGCCCACTGTGCAAAAGGACACAGGGCCAGATCCGTTTTATGGACCTGGGCCGGAGCTTTTGGATGATTTGTGCCGGATCCGGACCAGATCTTTTTTGCTATCTGGGGTACTATTTGGGTGGTGGATCATTCTCAGCACTGCAGTAACACTGACGTGGTGGTGGTGTGTTAGTGTGTGTTGTGCTGGTACGAGTGGATCAGACACAGCAGTGCTGCTGGAGTTTTTAAACACCTCAGTGTCACTGCTGGACTGAGAATAGTCCACCAACCAAAAACATCCAGCCAACAGCGTCCTGTGGGCAGCGTCCTGTGACCACTGATGAAGGACTAGAGGATGACCAACGCAAACTGCAGCAGCAGATGAGCTATCGTCTCTGACTTTACATCTACAAGGTGGACCGACAAGGTAGGAGTGTCTAATAGAGTGGACAGTGAGTGGACACAGTGTTTAAAAACTCCAGCAGCACTGCTGTGTCTGATCCACTCAGACCAGTGCAACACACACCACCACCATGTCAGTGTTACTGCTGTGTCTGATCCACTACAAGAAGTTAGTTTTAATGTTATGGCTGATTAGTGTATAAACAGATGATTCTACTGAACTGGTTTAAAACACATTTGGGATTTTTACTGATTTTGGACTTTAGACTTAAATCCTTGATTTAGTCTGACTGACTCTAAACCTTAATTATGTTTTATTTTATTAAAACTAATGCCTGAACATTACATTTTGTCACTACCAGAAGAATCATAACACCCAAACTTTACCAAATATTTCAGTTGTGACTGTTTCGGTGACAATTTTAGTTCATTTTGAGCTCAAAAACGCAGCCAGTAAACCAGCAAACACAGCTTTGAAAAGCTGTTCACACAGAAAATCATCATATTTTACATTAAAACACTAAAAATTACTGAACTGCAGAAAGAATGTGTTTCAGTAGTGACAATCTTTCAGTTTAATCAAAAAGACCTTAAAGAAGAAAAAAAAGTCTTATTTTGAGAAGTGTAAATTTGGGGTTTAGAACAGACTCCTCCCAATAGAAAGTACCCTATAAATGATGAGTTTGTATATATTTATCTTATTACTGTCTCTGTTAATGCCTTGGGTTTAAATAGATCAGAACACAATCCTTGTAAACATCAGTATCCTTGTTCAGACTTGAGACCACAGTTTGAACTAAAAAAATGTCTGAATTTGAAAAAAAGAAAAGTAAAAAAAAATATATATATATATATATATATATATATATATATATATATATATATGTGTATATATATATATATATATATATGTATATATATATACATACATACATTTTCAAATTGTCAAAAACCAAAAAACGACAAAAATGGAGATACGAGGTTTTGTTCCGATAGCAGCGAGGTATATATATATATCATAACACCAATATATATATATATATATATATATCACATAAATTATTCAATTAATTTTTTCAGCATCAGGAAAAAACGTTTAACACAAAATATTGTTTTGTTAGCGTTTGTTAAGTTTATTAGATTTATATTCAGATGTTTTAAACCCAGATATAAAGTGTATAAAACATGTTTTCTATCTATAAACTGATGTCTGTTAAAGCTGATACACGGGCACTGTGACCTTCAACCCGCACTGTGTAGAACAGGACCTTTTACTTGTTTAACTTTCATAGTGCAACTCCTCCACTGACCAGCAGATGGCAGTGTTGGGTCGTGGCAGAGTCAACTGTGAGGGAGTCTGGGCTGATTTAGAAACACACACACACACACACACACACCTTTTTACACATTTTGAAAAAAAACAGCAGCCCTTTTTAATCTCTATAATTTTTGTTTTATTTGTTTATGTTAGAAAACCAGAAAAATGTATTTAAGTATGTTCTCTGTAGAGGATGTGTTAATGTGCACTTAGAAAATCACACACACACACACACACACACACATGTGTATATATATATATATAGATAGATAGATAGATAGATAGATAGATGCATGATTTCTAGTCTGAATGGCCATAATATTTCTCAGGAGAAAATGAAAGCATCAAAAAAGGAAAGAAAATTTGCACAACAACATCGAAACTGGACGTCTGAGATGTGTAAAAGAACAGAACCTGTAATAAAGGTAAAGATCGGACACACAAGCACTCAAAAATCTGATATTTTGTGGTGTTTTGAAATTTTAACGAATTATTTTTGGAATTTTCTCATTTGTAAAGCATTTGAATGACCTCGGTGCATGAAAGGTGCTATATAAATAAACAGGCCTCGTCTTTCCTTGTTGTTGAGGCTTCTGTGTAAATTCCTGTTAAACGAGTGTTTTCTTAATGTACTTAATGGCTGTTTTGAATAAAAATTAAATACATGAATATGGAAATTTTTATATATCTGGGTCATCCTACAGAAACGTCCACTTTTCTGTCTGTCCATAGGAGTCACTGGTGTTACTGATCCTCATTGGTGTTACACATAATAAAGGAAACACCAGAGACATTTTTAATGAACAATGCATTTTACAAAATAACTGCTACAGAGCATCAAACCACATGTTGTCAATCATGGAATATCCACTAAAATATGGAATTTAATCCATTTGTATTCTATTTTGTCACAGTTACCTCAGAATAAAGTCGGTCACACCAGTGACTTCAGCTAAAAGCTTCATATGAAATCATGAGCTAAATGAGAAAATCTCTGATAACTGAAAGACACAGTGGACTCACCATGTGCTTTTCTTCATAGATCCTCAGAAAACAGGTAAAAGGAAGTCGAGTGATGTCATCAGTGTGACTTTTATTTCAAAATAAGAGATTTTTTATTATGCAGTAACACCAGTGACACGACTCCTGGGGACAACTTTCATTATATATTTTATAATATGTATTTGGCATTTGTTTTCTTTATGTCATTAAATTCATATATTTCATATTCATGTATGGATTATTGTAGTTAAAACTGCAGAAAAACATATTTTTTCTTCAAAGTATGGCCTCAGCCTTTACACATGACTTTGAGGACGAGCTCTTCTGTGGTGCTGGGAATTCTATATAACTGATTTATAAACCAATATTGCTGAATTGAGGCTCAAAAAGGTGTAACTGTTAAAATGACTTACTGTTTTATTTTAAAATCTAAATAAATTGTAACCCTAACATGTTTTTGAAGTGTAATATATCTGTAAATGTTAGGGACACAAAAATGGACGTTTCTATAGAATGACCCACATACAGACCTGTGCACATTTTGGGCACCTGACGAATTGACAGAATAGTTTTTGTCAAATTTACATTTGCTGTATGTCAATAAGTGGTGATTTTATATAGATGTACTTAAATATATATACAACTTCTATTCATATATATATATATATATATATATATATATATATATCACAGCTAGAGAAAGATCCGAGCTGGACAGGACGTGGTCTGGACTGTTAGGAGGCCTTTCAGGTAAAAAGGAAGTGCCAAAGTTTAATTCTCACGATACAGCCCTGATAAAGCCTGACCCCAGGCCTGCTCCGCCCGCTCAGCCAATAAAACTATCTGAAGTGGAGTTAATAGGCTTATGATTTATATTCTCTAAATGCAGGAGCGCTGAGTGTCAGGCTGAGCGGTGGGTAAATTATTAGCCCACTCTTACAGGCCCGCAGGACAGCGAGAGAAATCAGTACAGCACTCCATTATTGTCTTTAAACGCTGACGGAGTGGCAGAGCGAAGATAAAAACCCTTTATTAGAGCAGATATTCACACCTTTAAAGGAACACTTCAGCGTTTTCAGCCTGATCTCCACCTGCTGCGGCTGTAGCGCACGGCCGATTATGACACACAGTCATTTCAGCAGGTTTTCCTGAACTCCTTCTCTTCTGTCTTGAGGTTCAGTTATAATGGAAGTCAGTGGGCAGATGCTGAAGTCAGTGAGTAAAACAGCTTGAAATGCATAAGTACATATCACGAATTAGAAACTACAGCCGTCCCACTACAAGCACAGGTGTTAGAGTGAGTCAGACTGAGAGAACCCCTCACTGAAACTGTCCTCTTGGAGTTTTATTCAACTTTGTAACACTGGAGGAACAGAGTAAAGAAGTAGCTCCGGTCACTTTTGCTTTCTTTAAGGTTTTCTGGTATCCATGGTGATCAGACAGACCCTGTGAAAACTAAATCCACACCGCTGGTAACAGTTAATACGTCTGGAGAACCAGCCCATCTCTGAAAGAAACAAGTACACAGATACACTGTGTGTCAAAGTCTGAACACCCCTGGTCAAATTATGTTCTGTTTTTATTTTAGTGCAACATTTCTGTGTATTTGCTGAGTTTGACGTATTAAAAAAACACAAAGTATTAAAGAAAATTTTTATCAGGCCCCCTTTTATGTTTTTTTCCTATGTTTTCCAATAACACACAGGCAGAATGTGTCCGATTTGTGCCTGAAACTGGCCCTAAACGCTCAGGACATCGGACCCTCGGTTTACTCCAGGGTCAGCTCCAGCCTTTTGGAGGCCGTAGGCTGGATTTGGTGCCCCTCTGATATTTCTAGCGGTTGGACTGTAAAATTAGAGGCTGAATGACGATCACAAACTATAAATGACGTAAATTATACCTGACTAACTGTGCAGTGCTGATGTTTTCATGCTAACTTTGGGGATCTAATAAGTTACAGCTGAATTAGAGAATCTCAGCGTTGTTAATGTCGCTAAGCTGTTGCTATGTTGTCCCAGGTGGTTGCTAAGGTGTAGTTAGGCTGTTGCTATGTTGTCCCAGGTGGTTGCTAGGCCGTTGCTGTTATCCCAGGTGGTTTCTAAAGCGTTGCTAGGCTGTTGCTATTATCCCAGGTAGTTGATGGACCTTTGTTATGTTATCCTAGGTAGTTGCTAAGGTGTTGCTAGGCTGTTGCTATGTTATCCCAGGTGGTTGCTAGGCCGCTGCCATGTTATTCCATGTAGTTGCTAAGGTGTTGCGAGGCTGTTGCTATGTTGTCCCAGGTGGTTGCTAAGTTGTTGCTAAGTCACTGCAATGGTGTCCCAGGTGGTGGCTAATGTATGTGTGTGTAAATACAACTATATGAATATGTTATATGGAATTTTAATGAAAACCGTATGCGTGATTAGTCCCAAAAGCATAAGTGCACTATCTTGTATAGACTTTAAAAACAAAAAAAGAATAGAATAATAAAGGGAAGAACAATAAGATGGCTGTCAAGCTAACTTATGGAATGGAATTACCAAACAAATCCACTGAAAATGCAGATTTAATAACTCTGCTGTCAAAATAAGAGTCAAACATAATTCTACTCTTAGATGTAAGTTTACTTAATTCAAGTGAATGCTAAAACTACACTTCAATAACAATAGTTACAATAATAACAATAATCATTATTATTATTAATGTCATTAGTCATTGTACTTTGTTTTCACAAGAACTGCTAATAAGCATTGACTAAGATGCACTTAAATGAGTGCATATATGGAGTAAATTATCACCTGTGGAAAGAAACGCCACTTTTTCCCTACATTTTTTCTACCGGCCCCCCTTGGAGAAGACCACCTGGCTAGTGGCCCCCAGGTAATTTGTGTTTGAGAGCCCTGTTTTAGGTTGAAGAAGATGCAGCGTAGTTCTAATGCTGGATGGTGAACAGCTGATTAATTAGAAATTACACATTATTATCTCTATTTGTTAAAATAATGAGCTGAATGTAAGTTAATACATAGCACAGCATCTGTAATACGTTCACTGTTGTACAATATATAAATATCACAAAACTCCATGCTGACAAAGCTGCGCATCTCAGCGTATGAAACATCTGTGGTGGAAATAAAAACAGAACACACGATAATTGATTACTGCACAAAAATGCAGGTTTGCTTTTATTCTTCAAACACAATAAAAACTAAATAAGAATTGTTCACATTATCGCCTGGATCAATCCTGCCAAAAAAAAACAAACAGAAAATAAACCAAAAAAATACAAATGAACAGAAAAACATCCCCAGAATCGCTAACATAATTACTTTTAAAAACACCTACAGTTATTTTTTTTTTCTCATAAATAGGCGCAAACAAGTACCATAAAAAGATCTCATATAGACACAGTGTAGAGGAATAGTAACCGATCAGCCATATGCCAGGGTTATACAGCGAAATCCAATCTGCCACTGCGTCCAATTAACACCGTACAAGCTTCTGACACTTCCATAGACATGGTTTGGATGACAGTATCATCAATATGGCAGAAGTGATACAAAAAAAGTATTTTGCGTAGTAGAAAATAAACTTTTTATCCTTTCCTTTCTTTTAGGAACTCATTTCATGCTACCTCCAGGTTTTTTTTCCTTAACGGCATCAAATTTTTTTATTAAAACTGGGAAAAAAACAAATCTAATCCGGCTGCCAAGAAAATACGTCAGCTTTTCCCCTTTTATGTACTTATTTATTAATTTATTTTTACTTCTAAAACGAACCGGCATGGCCCAATTCGAAATCACATTGGAAAAAAAACAAAAGCAAAAAAAAAATCAGATTTTTATACTCTAGGAGTAAATAATAATCACACAGATTCTATTTACAGCTCGAAATTTCTGGGGGGGGTGGGGTGGGGTGAGGTTGGGGGGCTACGAAAGCCACTAACGCAGTTCATAGCGGCGCCTATGAACGATCACTTTATACTTACAACAGTTCAGTTTTCTAAGGCAGTTCACTAGCAAAGAGCATTAAGGAGAGAGAGAGAGAGAGAACTATACAAAGGGGAACGAGAGAGCCGGAGAGAGAGAGAAAGGGCGAGAGAGATAGAGATAGAGAGCGCGTGGGTGGGGAGAAATAAAGGAATAACCTACACGCTCTATTTATGTGATTTTTTTTTCCTCATTTTTTTCAGACTGTAATTGAATTTGTCTTTGCAGTTTTGGTTTTCATTCCGACAGTAAGTGCTTACAGATCCGTTTAACTTGCGCTGTTTCACCGAATCCCCGAAACAGATTCTTCTAAATGGGACCAATGTTACAGGAGAAATAGGGATGGGTGGGGGGGGGAGTTATATGGGGGGGGGATTAAACCTTCGGTGATTGTATTTAACTTTTATTTTATCCTACATTTTTACATTTTCCATTTTCATGCCCCCCGACTGTCTGAACGTCAGAGGCTTCAGAGAAGAAACGTTTTCCGAACCCCAGATCGAGGGTCCGTCTGAAGAGCGAGTGATGAGAAAACTCATTCCAACACACAAACACACGGCAATCGGTTGTTTTAATGTGCGTTTTGTGCGCGTTTTGCCTGAATGAGGAGGCCGGAGATGAACAGTTGGATTGAAAGCAGAACTGCCTTGGTCCTGTGAAGCTGCAGATAGGGAGGATGGTCTCAATCAGGTCAGATACAGGGCTTTATCCCTCTGCAGAGCGCTGTGGAAGACACAGAGACATGTGCATGTATTAGAGAAGGCCTAATGATTTCTGTAAAATTAAAAATTGAGGTCTGTAATCAAAGCAGGTCTTGCAGCAATACTCTTATTTGTACGTTTTTGGTTGGAAACGGAACAGGTTAACATCTTGAATAGAAAGCTGTCCAATCAGGATTGTTTTCTCTGTGGTATCTAACTAGATACAGCAAAGCGAGCTCTCTCGTTGGTTAGGACTTCAGGAGCTGAAGGCCTTACATGTTAGATTAACCACCAACATAATTAGGAAGTGACAGAGGAATCAACCAATCACTCTTTAATTTACAATGGGACCAGTTATGTGAGAAAAACATCACTCTAGTCCTTGAGAAGTTCTAGATAACTGACTGTTATATGAGTCGTTGTCTAAGCAAGTTTGGGTCAGTTGTTAGGAATGGAAAACAGTGGCGGCAGCTCAATGCAGGACACTTCAATGATGCATACAAGCACATATATGATACACATAAACACATATATGATAATGTCTGTTATATGCATCAAATAAATCACACGCAATATCTTTTACAAGATTTAAATGTGCATATGTATTAACTCCATAGGGGCACTAGCAGAAGCTAGCATTATCACAGAGGTGTTTTATTCCCTCGAGCTTTGACATTTATGGACCCAGCTCTAATATAAGCCTATAATATAACAGAGGTGTGAACTCCAGTATTCAGTTAGCTGTTCCAGGTGTCAGGATTCCAGTGGCAAACCATGACTATTAGAGCTGGGAATTCAGTTTGGGACATAAATGTCAAAATTCTTTTAAAAAATGATGAAAAAAGCAATCTCTGTGAAAATGCTAATTTCTGCTAGCAGCCTATGAGATTTCTAATTGCATGGTAAATACAGAATGCTAAGCTATGTAGTATGTCATAGTATGCTAAGCTATCGCTGGTGCACATAAACATAAACATCTAGTTCTAGACTAAACCATCTTGAACCTTGTAACAGACAAAGAGGCCAGTGAGTTTAAGTTCAAGGTGGATGTTTCTAATAAAGTGGCTAGTAAGTGGAAGTACAAGGTGTTTCTAACAAAGCGGCCAGTTAGTGGAAGCACAAGGTAAGTGTTTCTGATAAAGTGGCCAGTGAGTGCAAGTACAAAGTAGGTGTTTCTAAAAAAGTGGCCAGTTGAAAGAAGCACACGGCTGGTGTTTCTAATAAAGTGGCCAGTTAGTGGAAGTACAAGGTAGGTGTTTCTAATAAAGTGGCCAGTTAGTGAAAGTACAAGGTAGGGGTTTCTGATTAGGGGCCAGTTAGTGGAAGTACAAGGTAGGTGTTTCTAATAAAGTGGCCAGTTAGTGGAAGTACAAGGTAGGTGTTTCTACTAAAGTGGCCAGTTAGTGGAAGTACAAGACAGGTGTTTCTGATGAAGTGGTGAGTAAAAGGTCAAAACCCCTACATCACTTTAGTGGCCTCAATGTGGGATAAAATGGCCAAAGAGTGTAGGTACAAAGTAAAAGTCCCCAGTAATCAGGCCTCTAAGTTTAGTATTAGTTACCCGTTTCCGCAGTAATCTGGGGTCCAGTCCAAACCCTGTCCAGGCCCGGTCCTGCAGCCGGAGCGATAGTCCATGGAGGGGGACAAGCCCGGTCCAGCTGAGGAGACATTTATCATACTCTGATATTCAGCCTGGAGGGGAAAGCCCTGAGAGAGAAAACAGCAGAGGATTAGCACAGCGACAGCGCTGGGATTGAAAATGCTAACAGTTAGTGGAAGAATTCACTATCATATGACAGCAACAGTTTAGCCCCAAATCAAGTTTAAACAGTTTTTTTGTAGCTTCTTTAGCTTCAGCACTGGAGCGCTAAGGTTAATGTAATGGAGTACAAGTAATGCAGGCATCTGTACACCAATTAAAACCTGCATGACTAAATCTTCATATGCACTGCTCTGCTAAAAACAGTAGCCGCCTGAAGTTTGTCTGTACTCTGAAACTGGGTAAATGAGTTTTTTAGAATTAGATCTAAGGCCTGTGTCACTGCGTTAGAAGTTAAAATCCCTGATGTTATTTTCTGATTCCTTTCAGAACTCAGTGAACCCTTTTATCATGGCCACAAAAAAAAACGCAAAAACATCTCGTCCAGTTTGCGTCACGGTGTTCTGAAGTGGACATAATAAAGCAGCCTCAGTTGAACATTAGTGCACAAGTGCGTTCTGTGTGGTGGTGGTGGTGGTGGTGGGGGGGGGCGGGGAGAGAGTGAAATAAACGAATAAACGACACAGATATTCTAATTTGAAGACTTTTCCCTCTGTTCTTATTCCGTAAGAAAGAGTGCATGTGAAAGGGAAGTTAATCTCGCGGGTACACAAGAGAATCTCGCCTGAAAGAGCAAGACAGCAGGTGGCTGAGCTTTTTTTCTTTTTTTATCCTTCCCCCTCCAGAGATTCTACCTATTCATGGAGTGTTCCTCAAATTCTTCCCCTTCATTCTGACACAAAGACTCCATCTGCCCTTTTGTGTCCCTCCCCTCCCCCCAGCCGGCTACGAAAAAACTCAAACCGCCACCCGTTTTTGTTTGCGCTCCACAAATATGCAAAAATGAATCGTGGATTATTACTCCCCTTTGGATTTTAAAGCTCCTCCATAAAGGACGGATCTGTGAAACGGGTTTAAGATCCCCCCTCCAAACACACACACACTCACACACACAACCATCCCTCCTTTCCAGAAACGGAGAGGAAGAAAAGCCAAGTTTAAGCGTTCTTACTCTACTCCAAAAGATTGACACAGCCGTACAAGGAGCCCTGTGGTAATCTAAAATTGGACTTCAGACAAATTCGTATTATAATCTGCATGGAAATTACAGACTTTTTTCCCTGCCCCGCTTTATAACTCTGATCATCCACTGCAACAGTTAATTTGTCTGCCAAGGGGCGATAAAAACCAACACATGAAATTCAATCAAGTAGCTGCTCTTTTTAACACAACGTTTCCCAGAATTCCCAGGAAGAGAAAACTTACAACAATGGGCTTTCATATTCAAATGGGATTTTTTTTTTTTTCATGGGAACTTTCAACTGGAAATATGAGTTTCTCTCTGAGCGATTAGCAGCGTCAACATCTCTGCTGAGAACAGATGGGAGCAAACTGAAATATCCCACTGTAATACACTGTAACACATCAACACACTGTAACACACTAACACAAACTCACTGTAACACACTGTAACACACAGTAACACACTGTAATACCTAACACACTGTGACACACTAACACACAAACCAATAACATAACACACTGTAATATACACTGTAATGGAATGCAACACACTAATATACACTGTAATACACTGTAACACATCAACACACTCTAACGCACTGACACTGAAACTCACTGTAGCGCACTGTAACAAACACACAGAACACACAGTAACACACTGTAATACCTAACACACTGTGACACACTAACACACAAACCAATAACATAACACACTGTAATAGTGTTTATAATATATATATATAGATAGATAGATAGATATATTATGCACACCAGCTCACTGTAACACACTGCAATGCACTACAAAACACTGTAGCACACTATAAAACACTGTAAAAAATGGTGACACATAATACACTGTAGCATATTTTAAACTACCGTAAGAGTCTGTAATGCACAACAAAACACTGAAACACAGTAACACATTATAATACACTGTAGCACACTATCAAATACTGTAAGGCAGCACAATGCACTGCAAAACCCTGTAACACTGTAAAACACTATAAAACAGTGTAATGTACCATAACTCATGGTAATACACTGTAACACACTATAATGCACTGTAGCACACTATAAAATACTGTGTCACTTTAATGCACTGAAACACTAACACACTGTAAAACACTAAGTACTACAAACACTAACACACTGTACTTCACTGTAACACTGCACTGTAAAACACTAACACGCTGTACTGCACTGTAAAACACTAACACACTGTACTTCACTGTAAAACTAACACACATGCTGTTACCCACTGTAATACTCTGTAATGCACTGTAAAACATACACAATGATTCATGCTTCCGCACTGCATTACACTGACACGGTAACACACGGTCCCCCAGGCTACACTGTAAAGCTCACTGTAAAGTGAGTTAAAGGTCACTCGCTCTCTTCATGGAGCTAATCTCAGTTTAAACCTCACTCACCCTCCTCTACCTTCATCTCTCTTCTCCTCTCTTCCTACATCTCTCTTCCTCTCCCTCTTTCTGCTTCTCCCTCACTCTCTCCCTGCCTTTTTTCTTCTTTTTTTTCTTTTCCTTTCTTTGTCTCTACTTATTTCTCTTTATCTCCTCTTTTTTTGATCCCACAGTTACATGCACATTTACGCTGTTAGTGTGTGTGTATATATCAATGTATGAAAGAAAGAGAAAGACAAAAAAGACAGAAGAAAACAAAAAAGAGAAAAAGCACAAAAAGACGGGATTTAGAGAAACACATATAGAAAGACAAGAGAGAGATGAAATTGAGAGAAAGAGAGAGAGAGAGAGAGAGACAGAGAGAGAGAGAGAGAGAATGGACAGAAAGACAAAGAGAATGAAGGGGAGAGAGAAGAGAGAGAGCGAGAGAGAGAGTGAGATAGAGGAGAGAGAGAGAGATAGAGAGAGGGAGAGGAGAATGAGGGAAAATGACAGAGAGAGAGCAGAGAATGAGAGAAAGAGACATAGAGGAGAGAATGAGGGAGGGAGAGAGAGATAGAGAGAGGAGAGATAGAGAGAGGAGAGAATAAGAGAGAGAAAGAGAGGAGAGAGAGAGATAGATAGAGGAGAGAGAATGAGAGAGAGGGAGAGAGGAGAGAATGAGAGAGAGAGAGAAAAAAAGAGAGAGAGGAAGAGAGAGAGAAAGAAAGAGAGAGAGAGATACAGACAGAGAGAGAGGGAGGAGAAAATGAGAGAATGAGAGAGTGAGAGAGAGACAGAAAGAGAAAGAGAGGAGAGAGAGAGAAGAGAGAGCGAGAGAGAGAGAGAGAAACAGACAGAGAGAGATACAGACAGAGATAGAGAGAGAGAATGTGAGAGAGGAGTTTTGTGTGTAGACTTCAGCAGGAGCTAACGTGATCTCCGTCTCCTCAGAGCGAGCGAGCTGCTCTCACAGAGAAGAGAGAGAGAGAGAGAGAGAGAGAGAGGAGAGAGAGAGAAAGAGAGAGATAGAGAGAGAGAGAGTGTGAGAGAGGAGATTTGTGTGTAGACTCCAGCAGGAGCTAACGTGATCTCCGTCTCCTCAGAGCGAGCGAGCTGCTCTCACAGAGAAGAGAGAGAGAGAGAGAGAGAGAGAGAGGAGAGAGAGAAAGAGAGAGATAGAGAGAGAGAGAGTGTGAGAGAGGAGTTTTGTGCGTAGACTCCAGCAGGAGCTAACGTGATCTCCGTCTCCTCAGAGCGAGCGAGCTGCTCTCACAGAGAGCAGAGAGGGAGAGAGAGAGAGAGAGAGAGAGAGAGAGAGAGAGAGGAGAGAGAGAGAAAGAGAGAGATAGAGAGAGAGAGAGTGTGAGAGAGGAGTTTTGTGTGTAGAGTCCAGCAGGAGCTAACGTGATCTCCGTCTCCTCAGAGCGAGCGAGCTGCTCTCACAGAGAGCAGAGAGGGAGAGAGAGGGAGAGAGAGAGAGAGAGAGAGAGAGAGAGAGAGGAGAGAGAGAGAAAGAGAGAGATAGAGAGAGAGAGAGTGTGAGAGAGGAGTTTTGTGTGTAGACTCCAGCAGGAGCTAACGTGATCTCCGTCTCCTCAGAGCGAGCGAGCTGCTCTCACAGAGAAGAGAGAGAGAGAGAGAGAGAGAGAGAGGAGAGAGAGAGAAAGAGAGAGATAGAGAGAGAGAGAGTGTGAGAGAGGAGTTTTGTGTGTAGACTCCAGCAGGAGCTAACGTGATCTCCGTCTCCTCAGAGCGAGCGAGCTGCTCTCACAGAGCCGAGCGGTTTGTCTTCCACACTGATGTATTCATCAATCTCAATGTGTTTTTTTATTCTGTCCAGCTTTAAATCACATCCAAATCCTAATGCATCTGTTTATTACACAGAGAAAATTGAAAATCTGTCTGTGTGATATGGAGGGATTTTTTCAGCGGCTGGCCCACATAAAACACGCTGGCAGATATTAATGGCTTCTCTCCTGACCTCATTCTGCGGAGTGAGAGATAGGATGAAGGGCCGGAAATGATGAAAAATGAAATGGAGGAGCATCTGCTGTATAAACACAACTGCCTATAGTCACAGACACACACTCTACACACACAGCGGCTCCGCACAACACATCGCCTGGTAACCGGTATTGCGATATCAGCCTCTGCAGTACTGATAGGCTGCAATATACAAAAGAGGCCTCTAACCAATCACAATGCAGGCTGTGAGCATCCTGACCAATCACAGCTCCAGATTTCTGTGGGTGTTTGGATGAGCTGAGATACATAAATATATATATGTATGTACAGGGGACATTATTACATATAGATACATACATACAACAGATATTATTATATTACATACATTTCAGTGTAGTAGTCCTGAGGTTATATAAGTTTATATGACTACAAATAATTAGTAGGAAGCTGTCTAAATAAATAAACAGAGCTATAGAAAATTCTGAAATGGCTGCATAACGTTACAACAAAATTAATATCCATAATGCCTTGTATTTCAAAAGTGATAAAGCAGAAAACTGCACAAAACGCTGTTCAGTTGTTGCTGCCAAAATACTCCACATACTAATTTAAAGTACCTTTTATTATAGCAATATAACTATACAGATTATTATTACATAAAGACACTGAATTACATATAATACACAGAGGACATACTGTGGATGTATGTGTGTATGTGTGCATGTATGTATGTGTATGTGTGTGTGTGTGTGTATGTATGTATGTGTATATGTGTGTGTATATGTGTATGTGTGTGTATGTATGTGTATATGTGAGAGTGTATGTGTATATGTGTGTGTGTATGTATGTGCATATGTGTGTATATGTGTATGTATATGTGTGTATGTATGTGTATATGTGTGTATATGTGTATGTGTGTGTATATGTGTATGTGTGTGTGTATGTATGTGTATATGTGTGTATGTATGTGTGTGTGTATGTGTGTGTGTGTGTATATGTGTATGTGTGTGTATGTATGTGTATATGTGTGTGTATATGTGTATGTGTGTGTGTATATGTGTATGTGTGTGTGTATATATGTGTATATGTGTGTGTATATGTGTATGTGTGTGTGTATGTATGTGTATATGTGTGTATGTATGTGTGTGTGTATGTGTGTGTGTGTGTATATGTGTATGTGTGTGTATGTATGTGTATATGTGTGTGTATATGTGTATGTGTGTGTGTATGTATGTGTATATGTGTGTGTGTATGTGTGTGTGTGTGTATATGTGTATGTGTGTGTATGTATGTGTATATGTGTGTGTATATGTGTATGTGTGTGTGTATGTATGTGTATATGTGTGTGTATATGTGTATGTGTGTGTGTATGTGTGTGTATATGTGTATGTATGTGGGTATGTGTATATGTGTATGTGTGTGTATATGTGTATGTATGTGTGTATGTGTGTGTGTGTATATGTGTATGTGTGTGTGTATGTATGTGTATATGTGTGTGTATATGTGTATGTGTGTGTGTGTATGTATGTGTATATGTGTGTGTATATGTGTATGTGTGTGTGTGTATGTATGTGTATATGTGTGTGTATATGTGTATGTGTGTGTGTATGTATGTGTATATGTGTGTGTGTATGTGCGGACTCACCTGCGCCATAGAAGGTGAATGCAGTGGCAGTGAGTGGCTGCTGATCTGCTGCTGCTGCTGGTGCAGGCTGAGGTGCTGGTGTAATGGTGGGCTGATCTGCAGGGGTGGGGGGGTCGTCGCCATGCTGTTCATGCCCACTGAACCTGGCATGGGGGCGCTGGTCCGGGGTGGGCACCCCCGTACCAGGCTGTGGGGAAGGTGGGGGTTCAGGCCGGGCTGCTGGGGGTACGGGGGTCCCATGTAGAGACCTGGGTGGGACTGGCCCGCTCCAGGAAACACCGGCGGCTTCGGCCCCAACATCTGAGAGGCCTGGGACACCTTCACATCACCTGGGTCATTGTAACTCTGGAGGAAGATTAGAGCACAACCTTCAAACTTAATGGTAAAGCAGTCAACAAAGAACTGAGGCTACCACAGTAAGGCTTACTTTAATGCTGACCATTACCCACTTGCTAAACGTAGCTGAAAGTTAGAGGAAGTAGTGTTAACATGCAGTCACACTAATACTAACTGTAGACTAATGCTAACTGTACACTGACATTAAATGCCCCCTCCTGCTAGTTAACCCCTTAAAATCTTGGGCTTTTTACATACTAAGGCTTATTATTCAGTAACTACAGGGACTTCAGTGCAAACTGGCTGAGCTGTTCTTAGGCTATTGAAGTGTGTAATAAAACTCTGGGCCTGCTGGCACGTCCTGGCCATTTAAGGGGTTAATAATACCTGAAATCTAGTACAGACTGGGTTAGCATGTTATTACGCTAACTAGCATGCTAACTGTTCCCTGCTAACTAATAATACCCTAAAGTTAGTTGAAGTTGTGTTAGCATTATGCAATTACACTAACGCTAACTGTTCCCCTCTGCTTTTTAATAAGTCCTGAAAGGGGGAATTGCGTTAGCATGCAATTACACTAATAGTAACCGTTCCCCACTAAATAATAAGACCTACAAGTTAGTGGGAGCCAGGTAAGCATTTTGCAATTAACTGCAATTACACTAGTGCTCACTGCAATTACACTAGTGCTAACTGCAATTACCCTAGTGCTAACTGCAATTACACTAGTGCTAACTGCAATTACTCTAGTGCTAACTGCAATTACCCTAGTGCTAACTGCAATTACACTAGTCCTAACTGCAATCACCCTAGTGCTAACTGCAATTACTCTAGTGCTAACTGCAATTACACCAGTGCTAACTGCAATTACACTAGTGCTAACTGCAATTACTCTAGTGCTAACTGCAATTACTCTAGTGCTAACCGCAATTACCCTAGTGCTAACTGCAATTACACCAGTGCTAACTGCAATTACACTAGTGCTAACTGCAATTACTCTAGTGCTAACTGCAATTACTCTAGTGCTAACCGCAATTACTCTAGTGCTAACTGCAATTACCCTAGTGCTAACTGCAATTACTCTAGTGCTAGTTGGCATATATTGCATGTATGTCCATAAATGACCAAGCTGGATATAAGGAAAATCTATATATGCTAATAGATGTCACATATTTGAAAACCATATATTTGCCATATATCAGATTCCCATATGGGATAATATCTGAAAGCTAATGGAGTTGGGTTACCACTTTATTTATATAATAGACACGCCCGAACGGCCATACAGTTTCTTCTGGTCAATACCTGAGAGACGAGACTGGCCCTGTACGCGGCCAGCTGTTTCAGATACTCCTTCTTCGCAGTTTCCGTCTTCTTTTTGTACACCTGTGAACAAATAAACAGTAAAGAAAAGCACAGTGAAAGCGAAATCCCCTCATATTCTCATGTACAAGGGTTTTTTCCCCTTCGAACCTTAATGGTGCTCCATTTACGAGCTCAAAAGTGAAGCAGTTGTTGTTGGAGTGCTGAGCGCTGGTTAAGTAAGTGCACTGGAGCTTTAGCCATCAGCGCCGAGTTTATGGTCCCTCCATATTTCCCCTTTTAGCCGTCCCATATGTGTAATTATTTGCCCATCAATATATCAGCGGTTATTGCCCCCACCAAGAGAAACCAAGTGAAAGCAGAGACATAATGTTCTCTCATCAGGTAAACATCTTGTACTAAGTACAGGCTCTCGCTGTTCCACCGGCAGAGTTATTTACTGAGAAAAAATACAACTATAAAACAAAATTGTACAGAAAAAAGAGCTGTTTTGGCAAGAAAATGAGATGGAGAGATGGAGAGAAGCTAAAAGTGATCTATTTATTTCTCTCTGAACATCTTCATCTAAAAGCTTCAAAGGTCAAGATGTTTGGACCAGTCAGTGCTACAACAAACTTGATAATTCACTGTTTTTCAGTCTTATGAGAGGAAAAAAGAATGAAGCCAATTCAATTCAATAACAATTCTAGCCTGAAATAGCTCAAAACTGCTTGCAGTGTGAAGTAAGTCACACTATAACATTAGTACCCACCACTTACGTACTCAACTGTAAGTACTATTATTGTGAAATAGAAGTGCGTTGGGGCAACAAAAGCTCTGCCATTGAGACAACTAGACCACACAAACTCACAGAGAGCTCCAAACTGTCTCTGGAAGCAACATCAGCACAAGAACTCTGCGCTGGGAGCTTCACAAAATGGGTTTCCGGGCTGAACAGCTGCACAAAAGCCTAAGATCACTATGCGCAATGCCAAGCGTCGGCTGGAGGGGTGTAAAGTGCCGCCACTGGACTCTGGAGCAGCGGAAATGTGTTCTCTGGAGTGATGAATCACACTTCTCTATCTGTCAGTCTGATGATGAATCTGGGTTTGGTGGATGCCAGGAGAACGTTACCTACTGGAATGCACTGTGCCAAAAGTAAAGTTTGGTGGAGGAGGGATGATGGGCTGGGCTGTTTTTCAGGGTTTGGGCCCCTCAGTTCCAGTGAAGGGTGATGTTGATGCTGCAGCACAAAGACATTTTACGCAGTTATCTGCTTCCAGCTTTGTGTCAGCAGTTTGGGGAAGACCCTTTCCTGTTCCAGCGTGACTTAGCCCCTGTGCACAAAGCAGCTCCATAAAGACGTGGTTTGACCAGTTCGGTGTGGAGGAACTCCAGTGGCCAGCACAGAGTCCTGACCTCAAACCCACTGAACACCTTTGGGATAAACTGGAATGTTGATTGTGAGCCAGGCCCTCTCGTCCAACATCAGTGTCTGACCTCAGAGATGCTCTTTTGACTGAATGGGCACAAATTCTTACAGACACTCTACGAAATCTTGTAGAAAGCGTCCCGGAAGAGTGGAGGCCGTTACAGCCGCAAAAGAGGGGCAACTCCATATTAATGGGTGGATTTAGAACGGGATGTCCAACAAGCCCATATAGGTGTGAGGGTAAGGTGTCCACAGACTTTTGGCCATATAGTGTATATTAAATTGATGAACGATTTCTGTTAACATATTCTGCCACCCAGCTTTTCTTAACAGAAATTTTGTACTTCAACTAGAAGTGGTTAAAGAAATATGTCGCTGCTGTCGAACGAAACCTCGTAACTCCATTTTTGCCATTTTTCAGTTTTTTTCAATTTGAAAATGCCTGTTACTCTTTACATTGTGTGTAAATTTAATGATAAATGGACCAAAAGAAACGGCCCAAAATGACTTGGAAAAAAGTCTGGTTCCATTGACTGACATTAAAAGTAAAGTATGTTTTTTCCTTCTCCTGTAAAGTTACCATTTTGGAGATACGAGGTTTTGATCCAACAACAGTGATACAGACGTGGCATTTAGTGTTATTAGCGATGCCCTGCTTTAAAAGTACGATTACTTGGGAATGACGCTTCATAACAGTATTATAAATGGATGTCTGTCACCTTATTTTGAGGGCCCTCATGTCAATACAATGTTATTCACTTCATAAAACAGCCCATCTTGCATTTAGTGCCATCAACTGTTCATGAACACTTAATTCTTTCTTTTTTAATTGTGTTATGAATTCTCAGTCTAGGTAGCCCTTAAATGAAGTATTACCAATAAAGTACATTGAATTAACTTGATGCTAATGTGTTCATCACATCCACATGAGTCAAACAATATTAAATGAAAACAGGCGTCATTCGGTTTACTTACCGTAACATATTCCTAATATATTTTATAAAGTTAATATGTTTAATTTACTTTCATTTTCAGCGCAGCAGCTGCTGAAGGAAATAAAATGAAACTTATCGGAGAACAGAGACAAACTCTCAGAAAATCAAACCCACCTGCTCACAAAACGGGGTTTTCTTTATGTTGGTTTTGGGCAGAAAAAACCTGTATGACACTGTTTTCACACTTTGAGCAAAACCCAAGCTGATTTTAGACCACAGAAAGAAAAAAAATCTGTATTTCTTTTTGCCTACATGAAAGGAAATTAGCAGAACGCTGGAGTCACAGTGTGCCTGTGCGGCTGCTCTGGCTGTCATAACAAAACTAAACCTGCAGCACGTGCAAAGAAAACAAACTAAATTACCTAAACGTGTCTCTTTTGCACAGCGGCACTGCTAACACTTCTGCCCCTGTTTAAATAGTGTTAATATCACCACTGTGAGCTCACGCTTTCACCAACAAACGGCAGGGACGGGGGCTGTCCCCTCTCCCTCAAAGGGTTAAAAAGAAATTTTAGGGGAAAAACCGTCAGATTTGTTTTGTATTCGGTGAACGAATGTAGCTTTTTTTGACGCGATCATTCCTGACAGTTCCGCCGAGGGCTTACGTGCTGAACGAGCTCGGCTCAGTGATGTCACTCGTTTAGGTTCAGACAGATGAAAAATTAAAGGACTTGATTTACTATTATTAATTTTGATTATTAGTAGTAGTTTCAATCTGTGTTTTTACACATTACACAAACTAGGGCTGCAGTCAAGACCACCTTTACTGAGTCAAGACCGAGTCTAAAAGGGGTAGAAATGCAGTCAAGGCCGAGTCTAAAGGGGTACAGACCGAGTCAAGACCAAGTCTAAAGAGGCAGAGATCGTCTAAGGGGGCAGAGACCAAGAAAAAACCAAGACTAAAGAGGCACAGACTGAGTCAAGACCAAGTCTAAAGAGGCACAGACTGAGTCAAGACCAAGTCTAAAGAGGCACAGACTGAGTCAAGACCAAGTCTAAAGAGGCAGAGACAGAGTCAAGACCAAGTCTAAGAAGGTAGACGCCGAGTCAAGACCAAGTCTAAAGAGGCAAAGACTGTCTAAAGGGCAGAGACGGAGTCAAGACCAAGTCTAAAGAGGCACAGACTGAGTCAAGACCAAGTCTAAAGAGGCAGAGACAGAGTCAAGACCAAGTCTAAAGAGGCATAGACTGAGTCAAGACCAAGTCTAAAGAGGCAGAGACAGAGTCAAGACCAAGTCTAAGAAGGTAGACGCCGAGTCAAGACCAAGTCTAAAGAGGCAGAGACTGTCTAAAGGGCAGAGACGGAGTCAAGACCAAGTCTAAAGGGGCAGAGACAGAGTCAAGACCAAGTCTAAAGAGGCAGAGACAGAGTCAAGACCAGGTCTAAAGGGGCAGAGACTATGCCAAGACCAAGTCTAAAGGGGCAGAGACGGAGTCAAGACCAAGGCTAAAGGGGCAGAGACTGAGCCAAGACCAAGTCTAAAGGGGCTGAGACTGAGTCAAGACCAAGTCTAAAGGGGCTGAGACTGTCTAAATAGGCAGAGATTGCATCAAGACAGAGTCTAAAGAGGCCAGAGACTCAAGATCAAGTCTAAATATAATAGACCCTGAGTCAAGATTGAGCCTACAGAGGTCAAAACAGATTTAAGACCGAGTCTAAAGGGATCTGAGACTAAGCTGAGGTTGAGTCCAAAGGGCTGCAGACCCTTTTTTGAGAGGCAGTGTGTGTAGCAGAAGTAGGAGGTACCTGTTTCTGTTCCTCTCCCAGACCGTCCCACATAGAAGCCACAATCTTGGACACCTCTCCAAAAGTGGCGTTGGGGTTTTGACCTTTAATGGCCGCCTGTGTGTCTCTGAAGAACAGAGCGTAGGCAGATACGGGTTTCTGTGGCTCGTTGGGGTCTTTCTTCTTCTTCTTCTTGGGGGTTTTGGGCTTTTTGGCCATGTCTGAGGCAGCTCTCTTTTCCGCACCGCTCTGGAAAAAAAAAACAGAAGCTTGTTATAGCAAGTTCTTAAAATATCTTCTGCTTTCTCTCACTGGTCACTTTATTAGAAACACCTACCTTGTGATACCACTAACTGGCCACTTTATTAGAAACACCTACCTTGTACTTCCACTAACTGGCCACTTTATTAGAAACACCTACCTTCTAGCTCCACTTTGCAGGTGTGCAGTTACAGACTGTAGTCTATCTGTTCCTCCACAGTGTATCAGCCTCCCTCTACCTCATTAATCACTGGTCACAGAACTGCTGCTGGCCAGATATAATTTGCGGGTCAGCATCTGATAGGCTGAGAGCAGTCCACCACCCAAAAATATCCAAAAAAGAGCCACTCTGTGGACAGAAACCTGACCATTGATTAAGTTCTAGAGGACGGCTATAAATCTATTCCTTTCAAACTGAACACCAGCAAAGTGGAGCTACACAAGAGGGGTTTCTGATAAAGTGGCCGCGGTATATACGATACTTTTGAAAACAACTGCGTTGGAATACATCGCTAAGAGTGACTTCCAGCTTTTAGTGTGTGTGTCTCATAAATGTATAAACAGCAGCCCTTCGTAATTGAGAGGCGATGCAGGTCGTTTACAGCTGTTGACGTTTTAATGACCAGCCCTGGGCTCCCTTTAGGTGAGCAGGACTCCTGGGCTGAAAAGTTGAGCTGATTGCACGAAGCTCAGGGGCTCTCCAGAGAGTTCTGAAATGGCCTCGTGCTCTGGAGAACCAGGAAAGGCTGGCGAAAAAACCGCTGGAGCATTAAGGACCATCATTAGATGGCAGAGAGAAACTGTTTTGTTTTTTATACTAGTCCTGGATTTTCTAAACAGATGTCAGTAAAGAAGGCCAATAGTGAGAAGTGACTCCCACTAATGCTTTATTTTCACTGTTTTCGTCTTTGAGAGACGAGATCCAACCATATGTGCAGATTAGCTATTAAAAACGGTAATTTAGTCAAATAAATTTCGAAATAGAAAAGTTTGGTATGATTTTATGTTTGAAACTTTTAAAATTATACCATGTTGAAAAATAAGGCAGCTTTAAAAGTATTCAAAAAGTCTGAATATCCTCAAATGTCATGCGGCACATACGAAAAGAGTGGGCGGGGTGTTGCATCATAAAGAGGACACCAAGTGACCTTTATGGTTTAATGCCAAGGTCAGTATCTTTTTCACAAATGTTCAAGTTTTTTCTGAGTCACAGTTGGCTCAGCTGCAAGTGTGCTATTATTATTATTATTATTATTATTATTATTATTATTGTATTTATTTAAATTTGAGTTCCAGAAAAAAGGTGCATATGTGAGTCTAAGTACAAATACTAGTTTATACAGATTTTAGTATTGACAAACAACTAAAATAGAGTAAAATAAAATAAATTAAAATTTTTCATTAATGTGCAGCTGCAGCACCTGGAATTCCTTTTTAATCTGGTCTATTATCACAAACCAAAGAAAACAAGTGCATCTGCGTTTCAACTTTTTTGCCAAGCGTCTGTTCTTTTTTTATTATTTTCAAAAGTTAGTACTTTTATTTATACTCGTTTTGCACAACTTCTTCTTGTGTGTGTGTGAAACTTCACCTTCAGAGCTTCCTCAGCATCGTCCTCGTGCACCGAGCTGGAAGGTGAAGGTGTGGCCGATTTACTCTCGGGAGGAGACGGAGAGCCGTGTGTGCCGTTTCCACTCACGCCCAGCTGAGAGCTGAGCTGCGACTGGTTGATGGTGGTTAGCTGACCCTGAGGAGCCATGCCCGACTGGACCCTGGGTCTGAGCGGGTCGACCTGCGGATGGCCGCTGTATCGCGAGTCCGAGTTAACCATCTGCTGCATCTGCCACAAAAACAAAGAGTAACGAATCTGCATTACCACAAAAAACATGAAAGCAAGTGAAAAAGACAACCGCACCCTCTAAACCACAGGACACTGCAGCGGTGCTCCGCCTACACAGCGCAGCGCAAACGGTAACAAAACCAAAACGACACAAACTCAAACCATCTTAACTTTTTTTTTTTGAAGCTGTTCTTTCAACACGTTAACTAAAACTGTGGCAGAGCGCTACACAACAGTCTCCTCAGCCAACACTGTTCCCACCAGTACTGTTAACTTTGAAGAGCTCCCTTCATTTGTGGCACCTGAGCTAAAACATAACTGGTTACATTTAGGTTACAATTCTTTTGTACGTTATGTGACCTAAACTCAGCATGATATTAAATTAAGTAGATAAAAATATTACTTAGAATGTATTAGTTTCATGTCACAAGTAATAATAATAACTATAATGTATAATATATAATAATATATAATAATTAAATGTATCTTTTAACATCACAATGACACAGTATATAGTGTAGAGAATAGAAAAATACATAACATACAAAATACACAAATCTAAAAAAAAGTACATAAAGAGTTCAGGTTTAATTAATTCTATCCACTTATAATAAGTTTTAATACATTATTGGCTGAAACTGTAATATAATTTGGCCCAAACTGCATAATAACTTGGGCCAAAGCTGTAAGAGAATTTAGGCCACAGCTGCAAGAGAACTTTAACCCAAACTGTAACATAATGTTGATCCAAACTATAAAATAACTTTCACCTAAACTGTACTGTAACATTGGCCCAAACTGTGACGTAAAATTGGCCCATACTGTAACATTATCTTGGCCCAAACTACAACATAACTTTGGCCCAGACTGTAATAAAACTTTGGCCCAAACTACAACATAATTTTGGCCCAAACTGTAACATAACTTTGGCACAAAACTGTAAGAGAACTGTGGCCAAAACTGTAACATAATTTTGGCCCAAACTGTAACATAATTTTGGCCCAAATTGTCACTAATAACTTTGGCCAAAACAATAAGTGAACCTTTATTAAATTTGCAACATAACTTTGGCCCAGACTGTAATAAAACTTTGGCCCAAACTGTAACATAATTTTGGCCCAAACTGTAACATAATTTTGGCCCAAATTGTAACATAACTAAGAATAATAAATAATAAGCCAAAACTATAAGTGTACTTTCACTAAATTTAGAACATAACTTTGGCCAAAACTATAAGAGAGGTTTGGCCCAAACCGCAACAAACCTTGGCCCAAACTCTAAGAGAACTTTGGCCAAAACTGTAAATGGATTTTGGCCAAAATTGTAACATAACTTTGGCCAAAACAATAAGTGAACTTTCACTAAATTTATAACATAACTGTGGCCAAAACTGCAACATAACTTTGGCCAAACCTATAAGAGAACATTGGCCCAAACTGTAACTTCGGCCAGATTTTGGCCTAAACTTTAAACTAAGATTGGCTCAAACTGTAAGACAATTTCAGCCTAAACTATAAGAGGTCAGTGATGCAGTAAGAACAGCTTTGCTTTTTGCCGAAGGGTAAAATCACTTCTTCCCTGCCTGGAGCCTCTGTGGCTGTGCTGAGTCACCTGACACCACCTGCAGCAGCAGGTGAGCTGAAATCTACCCCACACCTGCTATTGTTACGCTAACAAAGCCCCCGACAGGTGGAGCTTTAGGGGCGGACAGGGGAGTCCCACCTTACTGCCCGGAGCATGGCCTCCGGCTGAAGAAAAACAACAACAGTGTCTCAGCTTAGAAATCTTCTAAAGCTGAATGATCACATCAGTTAAAGCCAGAGGAAACGTGCCTGACACGACCTGCAGCAGCGGAAACACTACAGGCTGAAAGAGTGCAGGCAACAGCAGCAACAAACTGAAACAAACTGCTTTGGGGAAAATAGATGATAATAACTGCTTCCACAGATTTGGCCTGTAGGTCTGGATATATACTGCTGATTAAGAAAATATTTATCCATTTATTTCCATTAAAAGTTAAATTAAAGCATTTTTCCTCATCCTGTAAAGTTGCTTTTTTGGAGATAGAATTTATATGATAACTTTACAGAAGGAGGAAAAAACATACTTTACTTTTAATGTAAGTCAATGGAACCAGACTTCTTTCCAAGTCATTTTGAGCTGTTTCTTTTGGTCCATTCATCATGAAATTTACAGATAATGTAAAGAACAACAGGCATTTTCAAACTATGCCAAAAACTGAAAAACGACATAAATGGAGATATGAAGTTTTGTTCTGACAACTGTGATATATATATATTCCTATTCGTGACACAACAGGAATATATATATATATATATATATATATATAAAAATATATAAAATGGCTCTATGTAGCACCAAAAAGGTTCTTCTTGACATCATAACAATAGAAGAACCTTTTGTAGTGTTATATAGAACCAGTTTCCAAAAATAACCACACAGAACACATTCTCTATAAATCTGAACGATCACTTCCATTTAAGCATGAAAACCATCTTTTTTAAGGCTGTAGTTCACAGAAATGATAACATTGCCAATAATTAATGAGAACAGCAGTTGGAAGTTGAATAGCAATAGAAGTTGGCTGGGCAGGTACAGCACGCTTATTAATGTACGTCGTCCCTGGACGTCTAAACTAAAGTACAGTCACAAACGAACACGCTGCGAGTGTCATTAAGCCAACTGCTGACCACTCCGGTCCCCTCACTGTTAGCCATCTTTGGTTGGTCTACTCCAGTAATCGTGTGTAATTTTTGCCGGGAAATTAGTCGGGCTAGTTTGTTCCCAACCGCAAACCGATCAACTCCAACTTTGCGGTAAACGTGCACTTCTGCAGAAATGAAAGTACAGAGTGGAAATGCGTCTGTGAACAGCGGGTTTAATTCAGAGTTTAATCTCTGTCATGGCGTAGAGTGAAAAGGTAAAGCTTTCGTTTTTGGTGAAACGAGCTTGCGCGTTCTCACCGTGCAGGCCGGCCGCATGCTCAGCGTTTTTTCTGCATCATCCCACTCTTTCTAATGAAACATTTGTGTATTCTTTTAGGGGAGGGGGGGCTTTTTCCAGCTCAGCAGACAATGCCCACCTTGTGTCACGAATAGGAAGATAATGTGGTCACTGTTGAGCTGGAACCTCTGTAGTTTTTAAACCACGCACAGTGATAAAGGTCAGCTTTCTGTTTCCTCACCAAATGAAACTCGAAGACAAAGCTCAGTGTTTTTTTCTCACTGTAGCTCTTTTAGCAGAATGACTGTCTTCACAGCTAATCAGATACCTTCACTGAGCTGAGGACTCAGGACAGCCTTAAACTGAATATACATAAATACATATCGTAACATATTATATTACATATTATAAACACAGAACGAGCTATCTGGACAATACAACAGAAAAACACCATATATAATTACAGTACACACAGATAAACATAAATGCGGAAAATTATATCATGAATTTCTTGTTTTTTTCAAAACAGCAGCTGATATCTTGCCAGAAGAACAAAGTTAACGTAACACCTGAACATAATGAAGTATTTATTAGACAAAGCAGGTACTGGATGACAACAAACACACTGAAATACATAAAATCATTACTTAGTATAATAATATTATAATAATAAGTTTGTATTTATTGTAATATTACTGTTATCACTGCCTAGATAAATCCATTTAAATCTAAATTTCTTGGGTGCTTAAAACTTTTGCACAGAACTGTGTGTATATGGATATTTTGCATTTTTATTATTTCTTTTTTATTTACATTTTTTGAAAAACTCCAGCTACATTACATCACAGTACATTCATATCTAATAAACGTTAATGTGTTTTCCTTCCTCTGTGAAATTACTGCTTTGGAGATACGACGTCTTGTTCCGACAATCGATATACAGTACTGTGAAAAAACTTCTAGACACCCTACAAAAACATTTATCTAAGCAATAAGCATTTGCTCAGTAAAACATTAATATTACAATAAATACAAATAACATTAATACTCAGTCTGCACTGTAAGAAGTGGCTCATCAGAACTGCCTGAAAAAAATAGTTCATGCTGTAACGAGCAACTGAACTAGTTTTACTCAACTCAAGAAATTACTTTGATTGAAAAAAATCGTTCATGCAAAGTTGGCTGAATAAATTAATTTACCACTTCAGTATTGTCATTATATGCTGTTACCTGCGCCTCCTTGTAGTCATTACTGCACTGCCTCTGTATCTCAGGTCATAGATCTTATTACATACTTTTGTATATTTTAGTTGTATATATGCCTGTACACAGATTTTGGTATATATTCTTCTTTTTATATTGTTTCACCCTTATTATTATAACTGTCCTGTGTTGTGTGACTGATACTGAACGCTAAATTTCCTTCGGGATCAATAAAATATCTTTCTGTCTGTCTGTCTGTCTGTCTGTCTGTCTATATCAGCTGTTTTTTTTTTTTTAAATCAGAAATTGATTTTTTACTGTATTTGTGTTTATGTTCCTCTACATTAATGATGTATGTTGATTTTACAAGCAAAAACACACTTACTACATGCGTATATTTGTACGTATATGGAAGAAGTTCAACACTTTATCATACATTTTCTGTTAATTCTGTTCATTATTTTATCTTAAAATTATACGTTTATTTAATGTATCTTTTTTTGTTTAAATTTTACTTTCCTTTTGATTCTCTGTGAAGCACTATACTACTATACTATATAAATTATTCAATGTAAGTTTGTGTGTGTGTATATATATATATATATATATATATATGTATATACATAGTCTTAAAGATGGTTCTTCAGGGGTTGTTTAGTATAGGACATGGTTATGTTTAGAGCAAATGAGTTCCATATAGAACTTTTTCCATGCTTAAATGTCCTTTGCATGGTAAAATGGTTCTACAGATTGATGGACAATGTGCTATATATGGTTCTACATAGCGCCAAAAAGGGTTCTGCTACTGTTACAATGTCATGGTTGTAGCAATA